TAGGAGGGTTAGGTTATTACTAGGCCACCAATTATCTACACTACACTCCTACCTGCGGACTGGCCGGATCGTAAAAAGCTCTCTCTTATCCATCGATCGCAGTGCTGTCTCACCCATGCAGCTGGCCAGCTTTCACCGTACCATCCACCATCCATCTGTCCATTGAGAAAGCAAAGCAAAGCAAACGCAACCAGAACCAGAACCAGAGGCAGGTAGCTAGCCACGCCATGCACGCGACTGGATAGCCTGCTCGTTTCGTGCCCGTGCGACACGAGCTTTCATGTGGTCACATCCGCCATCCGCTCGTATAGCTCTGCCGTACGTACGTGTTCGTCCGCGCGAGGCCACAGACATCGTCGTCATCACGTTGCTTGTAGCTTTAGAGCTAACTGGAGATTCTTCTCGATCACTTCGCCTTTCCATGGCGTCTCTGGCGATCCACGAGCATGCATGCGTGCATGCTGCTACCTGGAGTGCTGGGCGAAGGTAGCTAGAACAAGACGAGTTAGGGGTCAAATGCATAGCATGACCGACCGATCCGCACTGCTAATCCTACCCTGGCTATATATGTAGGAGTAGGATCTAGCTATTGACACGTCTAATCAACTTTGGCTTGATGGCTTCATTTTTAGCATCTCCATCGTTTTTTAAGCACCACATCTGCTTGCATGACACTACTCCAAGCAAGCTAGTACTACTTGTCTGTTTATTTTTTTGTATACATGTGCAGCAACGGCAATTCAGGCGCAAGCGCGCGCGTCGCGTTTACATCATGCAAGACGACAGCCAACTTTGAAGTCGCCGCGTGCGCGCGAGATATGATGGTCGTTTGAAAAGGCGTGGTGGACATGGTGTGAAACCACTGCTCTCTTCTTTGGAAGCACGCAGATGGTTAGCTACCTGTTTCCTAGCTCTCTCTCCCTCTCTCTGTTTGGTCGTCAGACTTTGAGCTTTGACAAAACAGTTAACAGTCCAATGTAGCAGTAGCTAGAGTGGCATGCATGTGCGGCCAAATACAGACAGTACCCAGGATTAGAGGGATCTTACGATGATCAGTGATCGTGATTTGACCTGCAAGCTTAGCTGCTCCCCCTCTCCCCTCCCAATAGTTATATTATATATTAATTAATAATTATAGTAGCACGCAGCAGCTATGATCATGCATGCGGTCAGCGGACCAGCAGGATGGCAAGCTTCGTCATCGATTATAAGCCCCTGAATTGAACCCTGATGATGACTGCATTTGACTCTGAATAATAATCCAGCAGAGGATAGCACACAGCTGCTTAATTCCGGCAACGTATATATATACATTTTGTTCCATCTGCGCGACTCATCTGCCTGCTGCAATTTCATACATATATATGGTTCGGTACGGTAGTTAACGACACATGACACGCATAATTAGCCTTTTTAACCAACTAATCAATTGTGTCTGAGAAACTTCCTGCACCTAGCTAAAGCTAGATAAATAGATAGATAGGTCTCCTGTGTCAACAATAAGAAAAACGTACACTTGATTATTCGTGTCACCACCGCGGATCGGACGTTGATTTGATCTTAGCTTCCTTTCTTTGAGCACACATTTCAAAATTAGCCTACTGTTATTCTTGGTATGGTTTCCTGCTTTCCCACCAGAAGTTTCCCAGCCAGACTATTCTGCCAAATTAATACTAGCTAACGACGAACTGGCCCTGTTTGTTTCGCTGAAATTTGGCTTACGTTGATTTGTTGTGAGAGAAAAATATTGTTCGTTCGCTGAAAAGTAATGCTGAAATAGTGCTGAAAAACTGGGCGACTGATTTCAGACTAATACTTTTGTCTGGGGTTGACTACACACATCTTCCTTCTGTTTGTGTTGAATTAATTAAGAAGCTTTGGCGATGATATATAGCTAATGCCGCGCGCGTCCTAAATTATACTTCCAATCTTCCATGCCACATGCTGACGATCCAGTTGCCAACGTACACTGGCTATCTATAGTACTTGTTCTCCCCTAATATATGGCAAACAGAACTTGATCAGCACCTGATATTCTTCGTTCACCTCCATGTGTAAAAACAGTTCTTTAATTTATTTTTTCACATTTTTATATTAGAACATTCTCAATGTTAAGTTTCATTGCACTATTCTTCAAGAACGAGTGGTGGGTGGTTAAATAAAGACTGAATAGTGAATAATTTTATTTCACGGCTTCATAGGCCTGCGTATTTAAATGCTGCATGATGTTATGAAATGAAAATGCTCTTAATGGAGTTTCGCTTAATTAGTTTCCAACATGTTAGGATGCATAGAACAAAACGCTCCTAGTCGAGCTCATCTCTCCTTATAATTTATTTATAAGGAGAGATGAGTTGGGTCTCGATCATCTAGATGAAACTTAGCTCCTCTCTCCTTATAATTTATTTATTTATGTGCCATGTCGTCAATTCTGTTGAAGTTCCACCTCATTAAATGGGAATGAAACTCTCATCGGCATCATCATGAGCCTAATAAAATCAACCGATCTGGGTACGACCTCATCAATTTCTAGAGCTGTCTGTTAAACTTTTTTAAGTTTGATCGAACTTATAGAAAAAAAACACAAAGATTTACGGTACCAAATTAGTATCATTAGATTAGATACATCAAAAATATATTTTTATAATGTAATTATTTGGTTTCATAATTATTTTGTGTTCTTTTCTATAAATTTGCTAAATAAACTTTAACTTAATTAGAATTAGACTAAGAATTGATTTATTCATGGACAGATCACTGAGGTAGTAAATCATATCATGTGAAAAAACAGTATGTATTGTACTGGTTCCACCTAATTAATAGGGAAATATTTATAAAAAGTAGCGTCGTCTCGGTCTCGATTATCACCTTGCTTTAGATCCACGTTTGTATTGTGAGGTGGGTCCTCGTACTTTAATAGGGTGTAAAAACGCGCGATCTATTCCCTAGCTCATGGAGCAATCCTATATGTGTGTACGCAATTATTCCCCAGCTCATGGAGCAATATATATGTGCAATAGTTTGCTACGTTTTTTCTCATTTCTGAGGAAAAAAAAAAGAAATACTTCTTCTAATCAGTAATGCCTTGCGCCCTAATCAAGGGGTAGTGTGGCACACACTTGGTAGTGTCATGTTACCTAGAGTGAGATAATTAATTAGGCAGAAAAACCTGGCGTGTGATGTAACATGGCACCTTCCTTGGCCGGTGAAATTAGCTTAATAACTAAGTTTGGCCGCAGGGAATATAAAATAGTAAGGAGATGTGCTAGCTAGTACTAATGCTAAAGAAAGCTTGGGTGGTGGGACACAAGTACAGAATCGTCGTCATTAGCCTTGGCTCCCAGACGAAACAAACGCAAGTGCTGCAAGAGTGGCTTTCGGTTCCTCGGATCATTAAACAAGTCGCTTAGGCGCGCGCTATAGCGATGCCGATGATCTGCTATTATTATCATGGGCAGGGCACATGCATGCGTTTAGCAGCTAGCGCTAGCTTCTAATCACATGCATTATATTGAGGCCTCTCTCTCATGCATGTTGTGTTGCTTGCACAGCATCTGCAGCCATTCGTTTTTATTATTTATTATATCGCCGCGCCTAGTACGGGACGGCTAGCTCTCTCGATCTCCTGCATCTGCATGCATCTGGGGTTGCTGCATTGCATCTTCTCTCGATCCCAACCTTCTGTATGGGTGTGTTTTTCGCTTGCGGGACGTGCTGCGTGTGCATCGTACGTATATCCGGACGAAGCTAGGACGGCCTAGTCTGAGTGGAATCATGTTGTGTGTATCCTGTTAGTCTACATCATCATGTACCTAACAACAAACACACTGCTCGCTCACTTGCATCGTACTCCGTATACGCATTTTTTCCCGTTGTGAAGACAACACGTAGTTTTATCATTATTTGGTATACATTAATTATCTTATGATTTGCTATTCTAATTATATATGCCAATTGGTTTTCATAAGATTGTTAGTTGTCTGGAAATTCAAGAATGTGAAGTATAGCAACACTTTCTTAATTTTTTTCATCAGATGCAAGTACGGCAAGGTGCCGGTGGTGTTGGATTATTGGTACACCACACCACCACCACCACACGCACGCGTAGAGACGACGTACGGTGGATCCTTGTTATGTTAGGACAGACTGACAGGTGTTTACAAGCTAGCACAAAGCAAATGCTATCATTTCGTCTTTCGTTTCTTCTTCCTTTACACCAGCCTCATCAACTGCTGATCCTACTACTCAGCTCTCGCTACCTGCTGAGACACCTCTCTCTCTCTCTCTCTCTCTACTCAGAACTCGGACGGCTATGTTGGCTTGAATTACTTCAACAGTAGTTTTTAGCAAACTAATAGTATTTTTTTTTCACAATAAATCAATATAAGTATCAGCATAAGCTAAATTTGTCTGTGTAGCCTTGGCCTAACTAGTTTGGAATAATTCTAATTAATTGGAGAATAATTTAAGAAGGTGACGACAAGTGATAGCAGCTAGGAGTAGCTACTAGGCTGTACGTAGGCCGCGGCCGGTGACTCCATCATATATCGTCTTTCAATTCAAGCGTGGGATCATTTCGTTCCGAGTTCCAACACTCGCCAGTCGGCACCTAGCTACAATGTGCTGTGCATGCATGCCCCTATAAACGCAAGCGCCTTCGTTTGGGCATGGGTGGTTGATAAGCCATGCGCTGAAAGTATTATTGATTAATTTGTTGTGAAAAAAAAATACTGTTCATTGGTTGAAAAAATACGGCTCATAAGCCAAACAAGGGTGAAGAATAAATAATCAAACACAAATAAATAAATATATATTGATTTTTTTTGGTCAATGAAAGGGAAAAAAATCCGTCGGTAATTGCTGGGGATTGATGACATGTTTCCATATACAATTCAGAGTGCATGACCGTATAATGCAGTAGCAAATAATCAGCATAAATAGATTTTTATAGGAATAAATATTGATTTTTGGGGTGAGTAAAAATATTGATTGATGAAAAGATGTCTGCAGGGGCCGGAAAGGCTGGTTTTGGGCTGGTTCAAGCTCTTGAATCTGGCCCAGATCTTACCGAGCTGTAAGGCCCGGCACACATGGGCCTTACCAACCCGGGTACAGTAACCTGGGCTAGACGGACCTGTTTCCACCGCGATGGCGTCCCCCCTCTCTCACATCACAATCCCATCGCTGCCAAGTTAGTTTTTTCACCGCTGCTTCCACCGTCGCGTCGTCCCCACCGACCGCTCGCTCCCTGTCCCTGGCCCTGCGGCCGTGTCTCTCCCCCTAGGGTTTTTACCGCACGCCACTCGCGCGGTCGCGCCCGCTTCCGACCCGTCGGCGTCGCCGCAGGTCGGTGCTCATCGCCCTTCCGAACCCGGCGCTTTCCCGGCGCTCTCGATTCCTCCCTAGTGGAGTTATTAGTCCTCTCGATCGATCAATTACCGGGGGCCGCCCTTTTGTTTTTTTTGCAGAGCTAGCGTCGCCGGGCTCCGAGGGGACAACGAGGGTTTTTGGGACGGACGTTGGGAGTTTCAAAGTGCCGCCGCGGAGGAGGCAGCGGAGACCATGAGGCCGGTGTTCTGCGGCAACTTCGACCACGACACCCGCCAGTACGACCTCGAGCGCCTCTTCTCCAAGTACGGCCCCATCAGCCGGATCGACATGAAGATAGGTACTCGATCTCTCCTCTTTACTTGCCTGGCGCTTAGATTCAATAGAGGGGGAATGCCGCTTGTGTCTGATAATCAATGCAAATGCCTAGTGATGAATACTAATTCTGCATGTCCTGGATCTAATCCTGAATGCGTATCTGCAGTCTGGAGAGATAGTTTGTTTGCGTTTTTAGTGCGCCATGAATATTTGTATCCTACGAGCACCAGCACCCCCCAACTAGTCTTAACCAATCTCTCCGCACTTGCACGGTGCTTATAAATTCAATATAAGGGAAATGCAGCATGTTTGGTCATCAATGCAAGTGCCTATTTAATGAAATGCTAATTCTGCTTGTCCTGAATCTAATCCTAAATGCTGAACCTGGAGTCAGGAGCACTAGTTTGTATTTGTGTTAATGAGTGTGCTGTGAACATTTGTATGCTAGTAGAATCCCCCAACCAGTATTAACGTATCTTGCGCTAAATCTTGCTTGTCCTGAATCTAATCATAAATGCAAAAACCTGGAGTCAGGAGCACTAATTTGTATTGAGAAAATTTGTCCTATGCCATTCAAACTTGTACTTGTGTCTTATGTGCCATTGAAAAATATGAGTTTCCTTCTATGCCATTGCTTTTAAATTTTGTCTCCCTTATCTGCCATTGCCATTAAATCCTGTCCAAAATCTCCGTTACTGCATCTGCGCGCCTGTTTGTTTCCTCAGTGTAACTTCTGTGCCCATACGCTGCATGTGTTCCTTCAAGAAAAAAAAACTAGCCATCCATTCACATGCCCAGGGCTCCTATGCCGTGCCCATAGGCCTCTCGCGCCTCGCCGCTGTAACCCTCCCGCGCCGTGCGCCCACGATCTAACACACCACGTTTGGCCAATGGGATTAATCTACTCGCTTGTCTATACAGCTACTTGAACACCGACAGTGGCAGCATGCACCCTGCTGCATGCGCAGTCACGCCGGCACTGCTGCTGTTGCCATTGCCAGCCACCTCTTGGTTGCTTGGCACCAGGTTGAGGCAAACCCGTGCAGGAACTACGGGTGTGGTGTTGGATGAAGTGGTGCTGGTGCCCGGTGTCCGGCACATGCGCCCGCACGTCATCCCTCTCTGTCGCCGCGACCGACAGGGTCCGCGAGGAGGCGGGAGCGGCCTGCTGCGACGACTGGGATGAGGTAGACGGCGGTTTCCGGCGCTTCTTGGCCTGGCTGTTGCAGACCTCGCGGAGGTAGAGGTGTACGGAGCGGGCGCCAGAGGGGTTGAGGGAGACTAAGAGTGTCCACCGGCTGGTCACATGTTCGATTTGCCAGTCGCGCACGCACCATCATGTGGGCTACCTATGCCGGCCTCGTGTTCATCGCCGACATGCACACGCCGGTTGCCTCTCCTCACCATTCGCATGCTGCCCACACGTGCACACCGCGCATGCCACCACTGCAGTCCACCTCTTCTCCCTGCACGTTGGCCGCCTGCCTGCGCGCGCATGCCACCACCGCCGATCACCTCACCTCTCCCACGCGTTCGCCAGCTGGCTCGCTTTGCCGGTGTGCTGCTCAGCACTTAACGTCTGCCTCCAACATTCTAGGCTGGAACAGGCCACAGTGCTCCCCAACTTAACGGTGTCTATTCCACATAAGGTGTTCGTGCTATTGCTCTGGGTAGACTTAACGGTGAGCACATAGTTTTAACGGAAATTCGGTAATAGTGGCACACAGGAGAAGCAAAACTAGAAACTGATGGCAATGAAGGATATGCATAATTTTCAATGGCATTGAAGGGAAGCTTATAAATTCCAATGGCATTGAAGAAATTTTCTCTATGAGTGTGCTGTGAACATTCCTAGTGGAATCCCCCAACCAGTCTTAACAGACCTTGCACTACACCTTATATGGTACATGTGCATAGTGCACTTATCTCCTTGGTCCTTGCTATATCACAACACCTAATCATCCAGTGCATATGTTTTCATGGGGCATGTGCATGTTTGCAAATTTGTTTTTGTTTTTTTACTTTATGTTGTATTATGTACTAGTAGTTGTGGTGGGGGCAAGGGAAATCCTGGAAGTCAGTGCTCAATTTCTGTCAATATATCTGTTGTAGGCTATGCTTTCATTTACTTTGAAGATGAGCGTGATGCAGAGGATGCTATAAGGCGTCTCGACAATGTGTCTTTTGGTTACGACAGGCGCAGGCTCTCTGTAGAATGGTCCAGGGTAATTTCTTGTCTATGGCTCTATGCCTGGATAGATATTTTTGCCACTTCCATTTTCTTTATGAGCAGCATTTCGTAAATTTATTAATTGCAACCATTCATTTCTTTAATTTGTTCAGCAAGTTGAACCAGTGCCAAAGAGCCGTGATAGACCTACTGGGGATGTAAAGCCAACGAGAACCCTCTTTGTTATCAATTTTGACCCCATGCGCACTAAGATTCAAGACATCGAGAGGCATTTCGAACCGTACGGCAAGATTGCCAACATTCGCATTCGAAGGAACTTTGCGTTTGTACAGTATGAGACGCAAGAGGAAGCTAGTGCTGCTGTCAAGAACACTAACAAGAGGTATTATTATCTTACAACTAGCCATCCTTCTGTCGTTAGTGTGTTGTTGAGTTGCTGCTGCTCCCAGTCCCATGACAATTATGTTTCCTGCCTCACATGTATCTGAAGCTGCTTCTAGATTATAACTAGGGCATTCTTTTCTTTTCAATATAACGGATTGTATCCCTCGCTCCTGGAGTTGTTTTACTTACCTTTGATGATGGTTTATTGGTTTCTTATGTGTAAATACCACATTAAGTTATGCCCTTGCAGGATATCTGCATTTGTGGGCATCTTGAAGTGATACTGTTCTTCTTTTGCATCTTTTCACTTGATTCTGATAGCCATTTGAGATATTGCACATGAGTTGTTTCCTTTTAATGGAATTCAGTTTGTAGGGTCTAATATTTCTAGAAGTTTTCACAGAAGTGCCTCCATGTTGTTTCTTTTGTCTCATGTCAGCAGTAAAATAGATTTAGTAGACATAGTGGTTCTTTTAGGAATATTCTGCCTTTTGTCCCTATAGTTATGATTACTTCCCTAGCTTGATATATCTGAAATGGACTAGTACCGAATTTTTTTAAGTGGTGCCTTGTCATGAATTCCTTGCCTCCGAGTTTAGCTGCACTGATTTTCTTTACATTTAAAAAAATTCTCCTAATTGGGTGTTATTCGTTTTTGGTTGCCCACAGCACCATATTGGACAGGGTAGTGACCGTTGAATATGCCTTCCGGGATGATGACAGCGAGAGAGATGACAGATACGGCAGCCCCAAGCGAGGTGCTTATGACAGGCGTCGTGGTAACCCCTACATGCGCTCACCTAGCCCAAGGTACCGAAGGGAGTACAGTCCAAATTATGATCGGCGTGGGCGTTATCCTGGGTATGATCGCCGTGATGGAGCAATGTATGAAAGGCGAAGCCCTGTATATGATCGCTACAATAGGGTCAGAAGCCCTGTATATGATCGTTACGACAGGGGCAGAAGCCCTGTTTATGATCGCTATGATAGGAGAAGAAGCCCTGGCTATGATCAATACTAGGTAAGAAAATTCCATGAAGTTATTGCTTTAATTGCATAGTTAATATGCCGAAATGTGAAGTAAAACGCATTTGGTTTCAGTGGCATAACTTCAAAAGCACATACTTCTTATCAGCTTGCTACATCTGATTCTCAATCATCTTTGAATTTTCCTTAACCAGTGCTTGAAATTTTTTGTAGTCTGTCGATCTGGAAGAACCCAATAAGAGGAAGAAGTGGTAAGCAACATGATTTTGCCGTGCCAAGTATACCTAGAGCAGCAGTGGTGTCGTGAAGGAGTTACTATTCCAAGTATATATGAGTGCTATCATGTAACGTGATGCTGGTTCCCTGGTTCCCGTTGTTGGTTGGAACAAAATCTCTGCATCTCCAAGAAATTGGTTGCATGGATTGCTTGCCATTGCCACATTGCCTATTTTTAAGTATAACCCGTGCTGCTGATATTTGAAATGTAATGGCTGTCGACTAACTTCACCGAACCTTTGCATTCCCAGTTTTTAGGCTGGTGTAACTGTGAACTAGTGCCAGGCATTAAGCTGCCTTCAGTGTATTTGTAATGAGATTTGATGCCCAAACAAGCACGGAGATTTAACACTTTGTGTTCAGTGCACAGAGCTAGACTCTGCGATCTGACGGTGCTGTTAGCCGTCCAGCAAATCTACGGCCCTGCCTGAATTTGTCGTCGCTCCTGAGTCCGAACCTTATCGCCGTTTCGTTTCGCCGCCCATCATCGTCCCTTTTTCACTGTTCGGAACCTCCGCTTAAAATCTGATTCTACATGAAAATAATCGAGAATTATCCCACTCAAACGTCTCGATTTTCCACCGGTTGCTCCTCCCGTGCCAGGTTCCGCTAGCGCCATGAACCTGCCGACGCCGCTCCCGCCCACCAGCTCGCCGGCCCCGGCTCCCCTGTTAAAAGTGAATAGAATGAACAAGCTTTCGGGAACAACAGTTGCTTTTATTAATCTCTTATATATATATACAAGTTGTCCAAAAGACACAACTAACAGGAGAAGTTACATCTCATCATCAAGAGACATGCTCTTTCGGTAACACAGTTAACTGTAAATCTAATATTTAATCCTATCTCTACCTGCACATCTAATTGGATGAGATCACCGATGAATAGGTGTCTGTTGGCAGGCACCGTTTCGTAACACTCCCCCTTGATCGAATCTTTTATAAGATCAATGTAGCCGTATGCTTAATTCCTCAAAAAACCCTGTGGAAAAAATCTGAGGAATATGTATGTATAGATATGCTATAAAACTCCTTTAAACCATATAGGAAAATAAGGAGAAAATAACATATACGAGTGTGATTTAAATAAATCATTATGTCATTGGTATCCCATTAAAAACTCAAGTGGGAAAAAAATATAGGAGATACGACATATAGATTACTTCCCAAAAACCATTTCAGGAAAAATACGAGGAGCAATATAAAGTGATATATCGCTAAAACTCCTGTAAAAATCCAGTGGAAAAATTAGGAGAAAATATAATGACATATTATTGGTATTGCCTTTTGGATAACTCACATGAAAAACCTTTTGGGAAAAAACCCATGGATGAGTTGTGAGGGCAATATGTGTCTTTGATATTTCCCACAAAAACCCTGATGGGGAAAATTGGAAATATGACACATGCTTATGTTAATATTACCTCATTAAAACTTTAACAAGAAACCTTGTAAGTAAAACTTGTGAAAGAAAAGAGTATAATATGATGCTGGTACATGTCAACATTTAGGAGATGTCCCCCCCTGATTCTGGCAAATCTCGAAGTCACCGCATACCAATTCCATGTACCAATTTTTGAAACACAGAAGTTGATAAGGACTTAGTAAATAGGTCAGCGAGATTATCACATGACTTGATTTGCAAGATGTTTATTTCCCCGTTTTCTTGTAATTCATGGGGATAAAACAATTTAGGAACAATATGCTTAGTGATATTGCTCTTTATGTAATCTGATTGCATCTGTGTAACACAAACGGAATTATCTTCATAGATAATTGTAGGTGATTTAATTGAACCAATACCACATGACTGTTGTATGTGGTTAATCATTCAGCGAAGCCATACACGTTCTCGTGATGCCTCGTATAGAGCAATAATTTTAGAATGATTAGTAGAAGTCGTTGTCAGAGTCTGCTTAGAAGACTTATATGAAATAGCTGTACCTCCATGTAGAAATACAAATCCTGTTTGGGATTTTCCGTTATTAGGATCAGATAAGTAACCTGCATCAGTATAACCAATTATACTGGGATCATGATTTTTCTTGAAGAATAAACCAAGATCTTTTGTGCCATTAAGGTATCTGAGGATACACTTCGCTCCCGTCCAATGACGGCGAGTTGGGTCTGCACTATGCCTAGCTAGTAAGTTCACTACAAATACGATATCAGGCCTGCTGCAATTTGCAAGATATATAAGTGCGCCAATGACACTGAGATATGGGATCTCTGGTCCCAATATCTTTTCCCCAATATCCCGTAGTCTAAATGGATCTTTTCCTATTTCTAAGAAACGAACAACCATCGAGGTTTTATTAGGGTATGATTTATCCATATTGAATTTCTCCAATATTTTCTAGATATATGCTGATTGATGCACTAAAATCCCTGAAGGATGGTGCTCAAGTTATAAGCCTAGGTAATACTTGGTCTTACCCAAATCCTTCATCTTGAATTCTCTCTTTAGATGTTTGCGTGCTTCATCTATATCCTTTGGGCTACCAATAATATTTAAATCATCAACATACACGGATATAATACAAAATCCCGTTCAAGATTTCTTAATGAAAATACATGGGAAATCATCATTGTTAGTGTATCCTTTCTTTAGAAGAAATTCCCTCAGTCGGTTGTACCACATTCGTCCCGACTGCTTCAAGCCATATAATGACTTTTGTAGTTTTACACAATACATGTTGCGATTTGCGCTTGGATTCAGAATTTGGATTCCATCAGGAACCTTCATGTATATGTCCGAATCAAGTGACCCATATAGATATGCTGTCACCACATCCATCAACTGCATAGATAGATGATTTTGAACTATCAATGATATTAAGTATCGAAAAGTAATTCCACTCATTGCAGAATAGGTTTCATTATAATCAATGCCGGGTCTCTGCGTGAACCCTTGTACTACTAGCCTCGCTTTTATATCTCACCACCTCATTGTTCTCATTCTGTTTTCGGACGAAAACCCATTTAAAGCCTACATGAAAGACTTTGGAAGGTGTAGCTATTGCAGATGTGAATACCCCTCTTCTAGTGAGCGAAGCTATTTCAGCTTGAATTGCTTCTTTCCATTGAGCCCAGTCCGAGCGCTTTTTGCACTCTGCCATGGTCTTGGGATCTGGATCATTGAGAAATATTTCTACAATTGCTGCGGAGAAGTACATGTCGACAACAGTAGTCTTACGATTGTATGATTATCTAGAATCTATGTAATTGATGGAAATTTCTTTCACCCCATTATTTGACTCAACATTTCCCAAAACTATGGAGTCAGGGTGTTCCGATTTTCCAGGATCAGAATTTGGATGCACCGTTGATCCGGGTTGTGGATTTGGTCCTGATGTTGGATTTTTATCCACTATTGGGTGTCTACCAACTTGAGGTTGGCTTGGATTTACTGATTTGGAGGATTTAGCCCTCGATATCTTCGGACGCTTACTTGTAGCATTATCCTTAGGAGCGGTCGTACTTCTCTCCCTCTTCTTTGGAAGTGGGAGTTGAATGGTTTTTATTGGTACCTCCACTCTTTCGGGCGTATTGCGAGCAAGATAAGAGGATTTAGTGACACCCTTATAATCAGTAAATGCTTATGACCTGTTATTTGTAATATGTTGCAAGTTTATGATTTTCTAAACTTGTTGTTCAGTCTCTAGAGTATGTGGATTTGAGGGGGGAATGCCTTGGGCATTCCAGATGATTTCCTAGCATTTGTTTTGGTACTTAAAATCTCCCCCTAATGCCGGGAAATGGTCCTCATTAAATATGCAGTCAGCGTATCGGGACGTGAATAAGTACCCTGTAAGAGGCTCGAGGTAGTTGATAATTGATGAAGATTGATATCCCATATAGATACCAAGTTTCCTATGTGGGCCCATAGAAGTACGCTTAGGCAGTGAGATCGTTACGTATACAACGCAATCAATTTTTCGCAGATGGGAAATATTTGGCATATTCCCACGTACTAATTGCAATGGGGAGACTACGTGATATGCAGTTGGTCGCAATTGAATTAAGTCAGCAGCGTGTAAGACTGCATGACCCCAACATGAAGTTGGTAGGTTACAATTTTGTAATAACGGTCTTGCAATGAGTTTAATTCTTTTAATAAGAGATTCTGTTAAACCATTTTGTGTATGAACATATGGGATAGAGTGCTGAACTTGAATTCCCAAAGCCATACAATAATCGTTGAAAGCCTTTGAGGAAAATTCAACAGCATCGTCCATTCGAATTGATTGAATTTGATATTCAAGATGATGTGCTCTAAGTCTAATAACTTGAGCAATAATTTTTGCAAATGTATGGTTACGTGTGAATAAAAGACACACATGAGACCATCTAGTAGACATATCTATTAGAACCATGAAGTACCTGAACGGTCCAGACGTTGGTTGTATGGGGCCATAAATATCTCCTTGAATGCGTTCAAGAAATTTTAGTTGGATCTTAATGGACGATGGTCGTACGATCAATTTCCCTGTAGCGCTGAAGTGGACATAAAATCTGAAGATTTTGGGAATTTAGCAATATTTAACTCATGACCTTTAGAATTGCTGATAATTTTTTGCATCATCCCTATACTAGGATGGCCAAGGCGTTCATGCCAAATTTTGAATGTGTCAACATTCTAAAAAATTACCTTGTACGCAACACGCGGTAAGGGTTTGATGTATGTGTAGTACAATCCGGACGGAAAAGAGGGAATTTTCTCAACAATTCGTTTGCCATATCCGCTATTTTTAGTAAC